AAGCGCAAGGATGTGATGTACCTTAGAGAGAAAATTTGTGCTAGATAAGCTTCATGCAGGCATGAGTTCTAGTGCTTTCGGTCTTGAGTGCAACCTTATCATTGTTATCCGTGTTATCAACAATTAGTAAGTATGGTGTCTTTAAAAAGAAACACACATAAAGTGAGGTCATGTATTGACTGACTAAAATGTATTGACAAAAATGACACGACCATACATTGGAAGGAATCTTAACGCAATGGGCAATGATTCAGAATTCACTCATGCAGCATTTAAGGTAAATTTACAGAACACAACTACCACAAATAACTGTGTTTACTATACACTGTACATTTGTGTCATTTTACAGAATATGGTAAAACTCACAATAAAATAGCTTTAATGGGTGGTATTCACACATTGTGTAAATGAATCACCTATACAGCCTTTTTTTATTTTTTTTTTTAAATGAGACAGGATCTCACTCTGCTGCCTGGGCTGGAGTACAGTGGCACACAGTAGTTCACTGTAGCCTCGACCTCCCAGGCTCAAGCAATCCTCCTGCCTTGGCCTCCTGAGTAGCTGTGACTACAGGTGTGCATCAGCACAGGTGGCTCATTTTTGTAGATTTTGTAGATATGGGGTTTCACTATGTTGCCCAAGCTGGTCTCAAACTCCCGGGCTCAAGTGATCCATTGGCCTCAGCCTCCCAAATGTGCTGGGATCACAGGCATGAGTCACCATGCCCAGCCACCTACATAGCTTTTAAGGCCTCTTTGAGAAATGTGAACAGTCTTCATAGTTTTGCTCTTAGAAATAATCAGAATTTTATAGCCAGGCGCGGTGGCTCACGCCTGTAATCCTAGCACTTTGTGAGGTCAAGATGGGTGGATCACCTGAGGTCAAGAGTTCAAGAAATAAGCAGAATTTTAAAACTCCAACTCTGCTTCTGGTAGTCAACCTGTTGTCTGAGGGAAAGACAGAAATGGGCAATAGGCTCTGAAAATTTCAACCTTCAGAAGGTTTAAGAGTGGGTACCAGAGTTTCCAGGCAAGCCAGAGGATTCAACACAAGCACCTAATTATGCTCCCACCTGAAAACCTACTAGAACTACTATAAAGAGTTTTTTTTCAGCTTTATGGAGGTATAATTGTCAAAAATGATATATTCAAGGTATATACAACATGATGTTTTGATGCACTGTTGTACAGGGTTTTGTTTTCTTTTTTTACAGGTACAACCTTACAAGAATATGAGAAGAAACAGCAGCAATAAAATTTTGGAAGAAAGGAAGTAGATGTAGACAACCAACAATGGGAAAAACCAAGAATCAACCATACCAACACTGGGCACCTCTGAAGTGAGGGTGAAGTGACACCAAAATACACACAGTTGGTCAAAAGTTTAAGAACTAGTTGGATCCTGAGATGCATATTTGAAGGTTTATACTTCAAATAAAAAAGAGAGACATCTCTGCATTGGGGGACACCCAATGGTAAATGGTAGTACTGTACCAAAAGAGAGTAAGGAAAAAGTGCAGGCTGTGAATCTGCTCTCTCCCCACGTGGCTCTCACAATCATGGCAAAAGGCCTTTTACCCTTCAGTTTAAAACTCAAAGAACTTTCTTTGGAAAACCTTACTTGTTCTAAAGATATTGCAGAACTTAACCCAACATACGGCCAGGCCATGCAAGCCCAATTGCGATGCCAGCATGCTCCACCCTATTAAGAATAAGCAGATCAGCATATATCGGAGAAAAGCCTTTAACATGGAAGATTAACACAGAAAAAAACTATCTTGAAGTAAATAATGCAAGAGTAGAAGACAACAGTACCTTCAGAGATGAGAAAATACAGCATCCATAAGACAAGAGTAAGAGGCTATAAAAAAGAATTGGGGAACAAAGAGCTCTTAAAATTGAAAAACTTGACAGAAATTTTATTCTTTTTCAACATAAGGTTGGAAGATAAAGTTTAGAAACTCCCCTAGAAAGGGCAGAGATGAAAATTAAGAGCAAGGATATGAAACCAAGTGTACCAGTCCAGGAGGTCCAAAGGGGCTCTAAGCAGAACAGCAGGGAGAACCACAGTCCCCGAGAGGAGTTGCCACATTGAAAGAACTCACCAAGGGCCAGTACTGTCCAAGAAAAAGTTTTGTCAAGGCACCTAACTAAAATTTCAGAGCACAGGGGCTAGAGGCTAGAAAATTCCTATGGTCTTATGCTTTCAAATATCTGAAGGAAACTGCTTTCTAACCTAGAATTCTACATTCAGCCAAACTTGCAAACAAATATGAGGTAGATTAAAGACTCTATCCATGCAAAAATTAATTTTAAGGAGTTATAGTATTCAAAAAAATGAGTTGTGGCCAGGCACATCACTCAGGAGTTCAAGACCAGCCTGGCCAACTTGATGAAACTTCAGCTCTACTAAAAATATAAAAAATTAGCTGGGCGTGGTGGCAGGCACCTGTAATCCCAGCTACTCAGGAGTCTGAGGCAGGAGAATCACTAGAAACCAGGAGGCGGAGGTTGTAGTGAGCTGAGATCGTGCCACTGCACTTCAGCCTGGGCAACAATGCCAGCTCCATTCATGGTGTATGTCCGTTATGGTTATACCATTTTTTATCTGGGGAAAAAAAAAGTTTCATCAGTATTATCAGCAGGTTTCTTACAGCTGGAGAAGAGAAATACAAACACTGAGGTAAGGCTAAAAAGAAACCTCTGGTGCTGGTTTAGAACTGGAGGCATCCATAGATGTGCACTGTCAGCAACAGGGACATGTTCTGAGAAACGTGTCGTTAGGCAGTTTTGCTGTGTACAATCATAAAGTGTACCTCCATACACCTAGACGGCATGCCCTACTACACACCTAGGCTATGTGGTATAGCCTACCGTCCTTAGACTACAAATGTGTGCAGTTACTGCAGGGAATACTGCAGGTAACTGCACAACGACGATACTTGAGCATCTAAACTTAGAAAAGGTCCAGTCAAAATATGACATAAAAGTTAAAAAATGGTATACCCATAAAGGGCACTTACCATGAATGGAGCTGGCAAGACTGAAGTTGCTTTGGATGAATGAGTAGTTAGTGAATGTGAAAGCCTAAGACATTACTGTCCACTTTTATATGCCTGGCAGCAGGGTTTACACCAGTACCACCACAAACAGGAGTAATGTGTTACAGTATGGTACAAGGTCACTAAGCGATAGAAATTTTTCAGCTCCATTACCTTAGAAGATCATAATCATATTGTTGGTGTCATCCATTGTTGACTGAAACACCATTATAAGATGTGTGACTCTATGTGTATTTCCTAGTTCTGTAAGCTGAAAGGGCCCAGAAGTCATGATACCCCTGCAGCAACGAGTACTCCAAGCCACTCTACTAAAGGCCCGACCCCCAGACTGAGGCAGGGAAATGACACAGTGCACCCTTAACACCTTAGTGTGCCGGAAAATGCAAAGCACTTGAGAACTGATAGAAATATCACAAAGGACAAAGAAACTGTTGAAAGGGGTCTCATCAGCTAAATCTGGAAACATCTGAGCAAAATAATGACAGTAATGGGTAGTAACTCACTGAACAAAATCATCCAAGAATTCATACTGACAAATTAACAGGAAAAGGGGAAACTCTTGAGTTCAGTATCCTCCCCACCCAAAAAAAATTGGAAAAGAACCATCACAGTAACAATTTAGGCAAGATTCATAGACAAATGAATGCTAAAATCAGGGGTTCAAATTTGATGAGAAATAGGTTATTTACATGGTCGTTAAGTATCTCCCCCCCCCCACCCCGACAAATTACATGTTACCAAAGGGAAAAAAATAGCAGCAGTGGAGAAGGCTGGTGGACACCACCTTAATTATCAAAGTTAATGTCAATGATAATGGGACAATACATCAAATGCCTCTTAAAATGTGAAGCTTTAGGGACGCAGCATCACTTTTGTATTTCTGCCAAAAATGCAGTGTGAATCTTAATAATGAGAGGAGATAAACCCAAACTGAAAAGGGATAGTCACAAAGTGACTGGCCTCTGTTACTTTAAAAATGTCAATACTGGCTGGGCGCAGTGTCTCTTGAATATAATCCCAGCACTTTGGGAGGCAAAGGTGGGTGGATCACCTGAGGTCAGGAGTTCAAAACCAGCCTGGCCAACATGGCAAAACCCCATCTTTACTAAGAATACAAAAATTAGCTGGCATGGTGGCATGTACCTGTTATCTCAGCTACTTGGGGAGCTAAGGCACAAAAATCACTTTAACTCGGGAGGCGGAGGCTGCAGTGAGCCAAGATCATACCACTGCACTCCAGACTGGGTGACAGAGCAAGCTGCATCTCCCAAAAAAAGCTCAATACCATGAAAGACAAGGCCACAAAATGATGCAGATTAAAGGGGGCAAAAGACAAGAAAACTAAATGCAATGGACTGGCTTCTGAAGGGGGGTGGGGGAGAAGCTGCTAAAAAGACATTACTGGAACCAGCAATAATTGAATAGTCTCCCGATTTAAAATCAGTTTCTGTCCAGAGTTTGATAATTATGAGTGACTGTCCTTAAGAAATATACCTGAAAGTATTCAGGGAGTAAAGGGGAATGATATCTGCAAATAGTATCTCAAATGGTTCTAAAAAAATATTTATGCTTCAGAAGAATGGCAAAGCCAATATGACAGGCAGTATGTTCATCACTGGTGAGCCTGGATGAAGTCAGGTCCTAAATTCCTCATTCCATTCTTACAATTTTCCTGTAATGTGAAATTTCAAAATTAGAAGTGAAAAAACTAAGAGTATTTTAATTTACTCAATGTTTTAAATAGAATCCTATTCTCAGTCAATACCTGGGAGTCAGTGTTTACAAACATTAAAAGTGAAAAAACTTGGTAGGGGAAACTCACTGGAAAACATTCATGGGCCAACAGCAAAGGAAACTAAGGTACAAATTCTTCAACTCTGAGGCCCAGAACACTAAATTGTGGAGGTGTTCATACTAAAAATACATAGTCACAGAAATATAAATTTTTCATTTTATTCAAAGTTGGTACAGAATTTCTAACATTTCCATAAAATAATTACTATACTTCAGTTACAGGACAAAATACCACAGAAAGGAATGTACTTTGCAAGAAATGTAGTTCATCTTAAGTTTCCAAATACTCTTGAAGGCTAATGCAGCAGCTGGCAAAATAACACACAGTACACAAAGAACAGTGTATTTTACAGAGTCAGTAATGAAAACTGACAGCTCTTTAGCAGATATGCTTCATTTTTTTCATTTTTTAAACAATAACACTTTCAAAAACACATGAAACCAAGATCATACATGTTTACAATTTAAAAAAATCAGATTGTACACAGTAGGTTAGAATAAACAAGTTAGAATTATCATGAATGATTTTAACATTCTTAAATCTACACTTTCAACTGTACTCCTTTCGATATAGAAATAACCTGCTTTATACCAAATTCTACTATCTGCTTGCAACTAAAACATTGTACAATGAGATGGATCCAATTAGTCAAACCTTAAAATTAAAAAAGCTGTGGACAACAGAGGGTAAACTAGAAATCCATTGACAATTCAAAAAACTCACTGATTAAAAATTAATGTTCGTCAACTTCATTTATAATCACATTTGGTCTACAATGCCTAACTAAAATGACACATGTACACAATACACACTCCCAGTGTATTAATTGGTCTGTTACAAAAAAGTCTGAACAAAGCAACATAAGCAGGACACTGGGAAGAACATTTTTCAATGTAGACATCTTTTAAAAATGCATTAATACTTACATATCAAAATTACTAGATAAAAGCAGCAGCACTCTGCTGACATTTGGCTTAAAAATAAAGGAATGAATGAAGCAATTTCACAGGATACTATTAGAAAAAGAATTGGTTTTCTTCTTGAAGAAGACTACTAACTTTTGCACAGCAACTATTTTTGATAACCATCTTATCAAAAAGAAAAAAAAGCACTGAGAAGTATAACACAGTTCATACGTGATTGCCAACATGAGTCTGGACAAAAGAAAACGGTATGTCCAAGCAAAGAATGGATAAATCCCTGCTCTATTTCTGAACTCTGCTGGCAATCTATAAACTGAAGCAGTAACAGTGGGGGAAAGCAGGGAACAAATTCCATACCATCATCTGACACTAATAGGGTATGGCATTATTAGAAAAAAAATAAAGCTTTTGCATTTTAATAACCCCACAGAAAAGTCTATGAGCAAAAGACTTGATCTGCTTGCCACTCAAAAGTTAGAGATCTCACAGTGAAATTAGAAAACTCTAATTATACATATTTACACTGCTAGGACTACTTTTCACCTAGGCTAATTAAAGCAGTTTTCCATGAAATTATAAATGAAAGGCATTTCTGCCAAAGAAATCTCCAAAAGCATTCTTTTGTACAGTTCTTACAAACGATTTTAAATTTAAAAACATGTAAAGGTACACAACACATAATATGTAGGATTAACAGGTTATAACAGCTTTGCATTATCACATGTTGCTAAGCCAAGGATGTTCCTCAAAACTTTTTCCTGCATTTCTGGTACTCTTCTTGCCCTCATCCCCAGGCCTGAGGTTTGATATTCTCAAATAATGTTGTAGGCTCACACCTGGCTAGCTTTTCGCTGGCAGGAATAATCTCTCCCTCAAAGTGTTCAGGTTAACTCTTCTAAAACATCTCATATTAGTCTACACTAGATAGAGTCTTCCTTCTAGATATATGAGAGTTGACCAGGTCTTTCCCTAAAAAGGCAATTTTATAAAATAGAAAAGAGTAGAAACAAAGGTAGTCATTTGTCTCCCATTCTGAGAATTATATCTTTTGACACATGGGCAAAATTTAAGACAAAACACATTCATTCATTCTTGATAAGCTACTCAGAGATAAAGTGAGGAGGTGGAAAAGGGCAATACTGAGTAGAACAACATACATTTTCTTCTGCACACACATTCACAGATTTCCTCTCATCTAGACTGGAAGAAGGTTCATGGGACAGATAAAACACTCTTCTCCATCCCATTGTGAAAAGCAAAGTAGCTCCTCTGGCAAATGTGCTTCAGAATCATTCTCATGTCCAGAACACTCAGATCAAATTCTCCTTTATTAAAATTAAGCACGGTCAAGTATATGAAAAAAATAAAGGTAACTTCCTAGCTCACATACAAACCTATACAAAAAAATCAAAAACAAGTAGTATTTGCCCTTTTAAAGTATGACTTTCTGCATGTTTGGGGGGGCACTGTTGATGAGAGGTAATATTTCTTAAAAGACTTAAGATTTTTTTAAAAATTCCAATGACACTACAGCTTAAAGCAGAAATGTGTCACCTGCTCCACACACCAAAAACCTAGACATCCGTCCCTGTTTCTCTAGTTTCAAGTTGCAGTAAAAAGCCCTCCAACCCCATTTTAGCTAGTACCCCCCAAATATAATTTTGGCATTCTTGACATTTATATTCTCTTCCTCCATCACTGTGGCACAAACTTACTGAGATTATTCCCTTGGATCCCTTATCACTTAGGACCAATAACTTAGACACCGCATTGTCTTGGGCTTATCAATGCCATACTCCTCATAGCAACTCAGACAAATACCTGGTGGCCTTTATGACTGGCACTTGTGGGATACTCAGAATACTATTAGTCTTGTGCTTTCTACGTGTGGATACACTAATGTGTGAACACGATTTTGTGCTTTCTATGGACTTTAGCTTTTTCTCTATCATGGAATATAAACTGCTGTCACATACCTGTTCTCAGATACACCTATCAAACCTACAATGGAAAAACAACAAATTAAGATCATCACAGAACTAAGTTACTTGAAATTTTTAATTATGGATATAAAAGAAACAAATAAATAACATTCAGACTGCAACACAAATAAAGAACTACCTGGTTTCACTGAACCTAAATAAAGGCTGCACATAAAGTATGTAAATATAATGGATATGGTTTGTTTTTTACTTCCTTCACTAGTTACAACAAAATTTAAGAGGAGTAGCAAATATTTCTGTTAAGAACGGAAAGGTGCAAACTAGCAGAGTCAATACTGGTAACCAGAAGGCACTCAACCAAACACATAAATTTCAAAAGCAGTTATATTATGGAATACCATATATACTGGCCTTTGCCAGTTCGGGATTTCTACAATAGCAGTAAGCCTCATTTCTATTTCCAATTATAACAACAAAAAGATGAGTTACTAACAAACATTCCACTTACAGAAGTCTAGGCTACACTGATAAATTGACTACTCTGTTAAAGAGCAATAAAAAGTAAACACTCCCTTATCCAGCAGCACTAGGGAACAAGGTGAAGTTACCAAGATAAATTAGGCTGGGGATAGCTACTGCCAACTTGTGCTATTGCTGAATTCACTGTAGTATGTATGTATTTCCCTTATTAATAAAGCTCTGAACCTAAACCACCTAGAAGTGAGGGGGAGATCTTCATTATCAGGGGCAACAATTACGCTACAGTGCTTTTTCTGTGGTATAGAACAAAACCACTGTTCCTACACTATGAAGAATCTGAGACCACTGTGCTTTGTCTTAATTTGCTCTTCAGCTGCTTACTTTACATAAAGTAAGATTATTGGTTTAAGTCAACTGCCTCAGATTATGTATGGTACTGCCCTAAAAAGTGAAATGTACAAGATCAGCAATGATACAGATATACCAAACTGTTTTGTTTATTTCTGAGTGAAAGACTATATGCCAATGGTTAGGGTTGTCGGTTACCAGATAAATTAGGTGCTTACCCCAAAACAAAAAAACTAATCCCTCTTTTTATAAACAAGTTTAGATGAAAACAGACACAAATTACATCAATTTTCACAACATTCCTTTAAAGGTGAATCAGTAATTTAAAACCTTATTCCCAGCACTGGAGAGAGAGAAAAGTTTAAATAACATTTATATGACTACTAAGTGAATAATGGTGTGGGACTCATCACTGGCAAAGCCTGTTAATTACTTTGAACCTTACCTAAATTCTCTCCTAGGAGTCAAAGTAGCTGAACAGCTGAAGTACTCCAACAGAGTGACAGAGTCTGACAAAAACATTCCACGTTAAGCGACCTTAATGGAAGAAAAAGATTTGCTGCCCCAAGGTAACCAAGTCTAGCAATCAGAAGATTACTTTTTCACAATCCAACCTCATATCTTCCAGTACAAAAGGGTTCCTCTATATGCCAACTAATTCCAAATTTTTACAGCAAAAAATACGCCTTTTTGGCATAAAAACTCCACGGTTTCTCCGCACTCTGACACCATCATTTCAAAGGGGCTCACATAAATGTTCACTACTGCTCTCTCCCTAATTTTTGAAAAAGGAGTTTTGAGAATACTGATGAACTATTAGTGCTTTTATTATCAGCCAACACAAAGTGTGAGAATATCATTCTTGAGAATTAACATTTTAAGCCAACAGAAATTCAGTATACTTAAAATATAACTGTATTTAATGAATTATTATTTGGATCTGAAAGTCCTCAATACTGGGGCAAAATGGCACTATGCCTGAAAGTGAACTAAGCTGACGAAATCAAAATTTGAACTTGCCAAGTGTTAAAAAGACTAGGTGTAGAACTGACACAGCAATGTGAAGGAAGACAAAGAGAAAAACCAGTCTCTCTGAATGGTACGCAGGCATATGCACATATAGAAATATATCCTACCAGTAAAGAAGTCTCCTCAGGCTATTACAAACACTGCAATGGCTTCAGCAACCTAGCACCTGGCTAATGCAAAATTTTACAAATACTGAAGCCTCAAAACATTTTTCTACTAAATTATCCCTAATGTGTTAATAAATTTTGTACTTTACAATGCTTAACATCAAAACAGGTTTAACAAGCTGACACTTACTTATTAGTGCCCTAATTTATATGGGGAGGAGTTTAAAGTAGCTGAGAATCAAGGTACTTCAAAGTTCTAGAATCCAATGAAAATGATTCTATTTCTGCAGATTTTAAGCTAATATTTGTTGTCTTTTACCAATGTGCTAATGTCTGTCACCCAGGTACTTATCTCACTTAATCATTTTTCTGATTTCTTAGGAAAATTTTGTCCTGGCAAGTCTCTTTAGTCACATCATTCAACAGGAATGGTCCTGTATACTCTCTACCCAAACCTAGGAAATAGTGAGGTGTCACCATCAGCGAACCATGTGATCCCTTTCCAGTCATCATGTCTCTGATAAAAATGAGCCAGAGGAATAAACATAAGGCAACCCCATAAGCTTTAACACTGTCAATTAGGAAAAGGGAAGACCTAACTTTTGAGTAGCAAATAACTGGGGAGCTAATAAGCCAAAGCATTTGGTGGTAAAGAATGAAAATAACCCATAGGCTACACCAAACGATACTCAAGGTCAGAGGGGAAGATCATGTGCCCACGATAGAGAAAATAAGCCATGGGCTGCGAATACAGACACACTGGAATTGCCCTGACAAGACTTAACCCCTTGCTTAGCCTCAGAAGTACATAACAACCCTCTCAACTCATTTTTTTCTTTTTTTTTTTTTTGAGATGGAGTCTTGCTCTGTCACCCACGCTGAAGTGCAGTAGTGTACAATCTTAGCTCACTGCAACCTCCGCCTCCCAGATTCAAGCAATTCTGCCTCAGCCTCCCCTGTAGCTGGGATTACAGGCACACGTTACCACGCCTGGCTAATTTTTGTATTTTTACTAGAGATGGGGTTTCACCATGTTAATCAGGCTGGTCTCAAAGTCCTGATCTCAGGTGATCCGCCCGCCTCAACCTTCCAAAGTGCTGGGATTACAGGTGTGAGCCACTCACTGCACCAGGCCTCAACTCAGTTCTTAAAATGTGAAGTTTCAAAGAGTGATGGGTCCCAGCTAATTTCTTCAGGTACTATCCCTAAGAGCTATGGCTACATGACCCTGGCCAGCCTCCTTGTGCCAAAAGACAATGGATCCTTTGAGCTAAGTGAAAAGGAAGCCCTAGGAGATCAGAGCTATTGAATTTACACCAAAGGACACAGCACCACTGCTATTGCTTGATGCTTCTCTAACCTAAAGACAAAACATAAATACCCCCAGGAAAGAATAACTGGGGAAGAAACTGACTCAACTGTTCATTCTCTGGGGGTAGCAGGACAGAATATTCTGAAAGATGACCAGGGAAATTAGAGGTCCCACAAAATACACAATAATCAACCAGCATACCAAATCTAATACGCTCTTCTCATCAGATCTTGAGACAAATTTTAATTGTCTGAGAAGACAAAAAAAATCTAAGAACTGGGGATACCGTTAACACCTGGTAAGACATGTATTTTTCTCTACCTTCCAAGACCAGTGTCCTAATCTCATTTTGACTTTTAGCTACGCTAGTCAATATCAATCTTCAATTCTGAACCTTAGCTTGAGCTAATATAAAAATATGCACACGTTAATGTCTAAAGACCAATGTCATTTAGGATCCACTTAGTCAGTATGTACAAAAAGTATGAACATTTTGCTAGCTTAAGACAGTCCATGTTTCATTCCAGCAACCATCATTCTGGAATATAGACTGAAGACTGGTCCCTGAATGAAGCTGCAATCAGCAATTCACATACTTATTCAAGCACATTATCTATTACTGGGAAGCAATAAGAAAGACAAGCTTCAGGGACTTTCGTCTAAATAAAGTGATGTTTATACTGGCAAGAATAAACAATTCTAATGAATATGCTAATAGTCATTCCTTATTTACAGACTTTAGTACTCTAAACTTGACCTACTGCTATATACATACAGACACAAGATGATGTACCTTATGTACCTTACTAAGAGCAGAGAGAAGGTAGAGGGACCCTAATTCTCCAAACTACTTGGACTCAATGTTAAATAAAAGGAGGAAAAAAAAATCACAAACACTTCCTAGTCATTTATGCTGGATATGGAAGAGATAGAAAGGCTGCCTGGCCAATATGTCAATTATCACTGCCAAATTACACAGCAGTGTGGTTCAAAGAAAATTTTAATTCCTATAACTTAATGGCAATTTGAAAAACCCAAACACCAAAAGGTTGTCTCAAGGAAAGATCAGTTCCTTTGAGAAAACAGAACAAAACACTGACAATCATTTGTCCAGATACATCTGAACAAGCCATGAGTCCAGATTTGGAGACCTGATTTCTGTTCTTCCCAAATAAGACTTCATAACCTTGGACATGTCACAGCCTCAACCTCCAAACAAGGAAAGGATGATCTCTATTTGGCCCCCAAAATTATAAACCTCAAGAATAAAATTGAGAAAAAAATTCTACAAGGCACTCTAAGCTCTTCAGAAATACATGCTATTCGTACATAAATTATTTTTTCATTTATAAACTCAGTCCATCAGAAAGCCTCCTGATCATAGGAAGACACTAAACTACCTGATAATTTCTAAAATTAACTTTGGACTAATTAAGTCCATCATAATGAAACTAGTTTACACACTACTAAAAAATTAAAATCAAGACTGAGTTTTGATTCAAAATCTACAAAAGTATTTATAAAAGTAACTTCCCTAAATACAAGCCTAGTAAAATCATGCAATCTAAAAAGTATCAGAGATTAAAGAAAGTACATACATAATTTGCTTCTTTCATCTTTCATGGAGGACAAAGGACAGTGTTGAGCACACAAAGACACAGAAGTACATAATTAGTAGAGCTTTTCTCTAACATCTTTTGTACCCTGTACCCACTACAGAGAAATAGCCTGTGAAAAAGATTCCCACCCACAGATGTTGCAACTGGGTGCCAAGCCACGTCAAGTTAGAATTCTGTAATTACACAGTCCTATAGTACCCTCCACAAGACACACTACTAACCCCAAAAGTTCTTGTTTGGCACCTCTCAAACATGCTATCCATCCTACAGAAAGACTATACTGACAACCTATCAACAGCAAAGTATGCACTGAGTTTTCTGTTGCTGATGGCCAGCTTGCATTGAAACATCCTCATGCTCTAAGTTACTATAACAGAAATGAAGAGGCTGTGTACAGATGGCAAGTCTTTTGAGGAAAAAAAAAAAAAATCAGGGAAAAATGTATCAAGGATGAAATAAGATAACAGAATTAAATTTTCCCTCTAAAAATTTAACCTTGATATATCAAGTAGAGCAATCCAGCACACAAAGGCAGCGTCAATTTTTCTTCAGGTTTCTGGACATATCTTCCAACTGGATCCACCAAGGAAGGCATATGGCTAATAATTTTTCCAAATAACAAGAACAAAGCTAAAAAATTAGCAGAATATACGAGGAATCATCCGTTTAGCATAAGTTAGTCAAACACTGCTTGGGGGCTGGTCATTTCCAAACTATATGAACAACCTTAATCTGATCAATAAATACGGGGATCATCAGCAACATTTACTTCATTTTCTCCCCCATAATTATTTAAAAATACAATCATGACATGTAACTTTACAGGCAGACTTGTTGCTCATTTCAGTATGGTTCACTTAATATTCAAGTAGAAAAAAAAAAAGGAATGGAACAATGTTTTTCCCTAACATTCCATATACATGTGGTACAAATATACCTACAGGAAAACATTCTTTCTTTTGGCAATCAGAATCCAAAGGCTCATGCTAACAAAATGAACCTGGCAAACTTGTCCTGAAACAAGTATCACACAAGCACATTAGATTTTCAGTACATAACTGATTGCACAATTCTAAAAAATCAGTTTTTTTAATGGTAGGGATTACAGAGACAGAAAAAATTTTTAGAAATGAGCAAATCTTCTACACTTCAGGGTAAGAAGGTCTGCCAAGACTTGGCAGTGCAGACAGTGTACCTTAATTCATGGTAACTTAACATATATTCTGCTCTAAGTGCTCTGTGAAAATAATTGGTCCCTCCTTACTTTGGTATGTAAAATTTAAAACCACATTTGCACAATTCAGTCTGTTAAGTTTTGCTTCATTTAAGTTGAAGATTTACTTTCATCCATCTCTGGGAAAATAAAGTCCTGTAAGTAGATGATTTTCTGCTAAGTAAAATTTGGCTAAAACCTACAGCGTAAACAATGCCTGAGAGATGCAACAGTTACATAACTTTTTTTCCCCAAAGACCAGTCAGTATTGTCTTAAGTTAGTGTCTCACCATATCCATAAGTTCATAAGGAGAAATAAACAAACATGAAAATTCCAAGTGAACACACAGCAAAAAGTCCAATATTTAATATTAGTTTAACTTGCCGAGTCTCTTCCAGCATCTGTAAACAAACAGCCTCCTCCTCCATCAGGTCTCTGAGACTCCGCTTGCTGAGGTTCTTACTTTTAAAGCCACAAAACCAGTCTATGAACTTCCAGTACCGACCTCCATCCTCTGTTTCCTTCTTTCTCTCTTTCTCACCCATGAGAGCTGCTTGCCCATTGGAGTAAGCGTCAACTGGTGTTTCTGCCTCTGAATGACCTAAGGAAGCCACTGGGTTGCCCTCCTCTCTGCAGGTTACCAAAAGATTAACATCTTCAGGCTGAAGGCCCTTAATGCTGTCTTCAGATTTCCCGTTGGGAATGATGTGGTTGATGGCCTCATTATTCTCACTGCATCTCAGAATGCTCTTTTCTTGCATTTTGTATGGTTCCTCTTTCGGGGAGCAGCTCTCCTTCACTACCAGGTTCTTCTTAGACCAAAAGGTGGTGGTACGAATCTGTTCCTTTGTGGGAGGTGGCGTGAGAAGGCTCACAATTACAGTAATGAGTCCCGTGACCCAAAACAATACTGTGGCCACATACATATAATGGATGTCTTTGATGAAACCTGGCCTGTTATCAGGTTGGTCACACTCTGGGGCACGGTAGGCAAAGGCCAGTATCAAACGGATTGCTCCAAGAACAAAGCCAGCCATTCCACCATAGAAAGCCCCTTGTTCATTGCAGCGCTTCCAGAAAATTGCCAGAAGGAACAGGGCTGCCACTGGGGGTGTCAGGTAATCTGCTACCTCCTGAATATAAAGGTACATCTGGCCTCCTTGCATCTCCACGATGATTGGCACCCATGCTATGCTGATCACCACCATAAAGGCCACAAAAACCCTCCCCACAATCATTAACTCCCGGGAGCTTGCGCTCTTGCGGATAAGTTTGTACACATCGAGGGTGAATATGGTACTGGCACTGTTAAAGATAGAGTCCAAGTCACTCATCAGAGCTGCAATCATCACTGCCATCATTAAGCCCCGAAGGCCCACAGGAACCAGCTTCATCACCAGCCGTGGGTAAGCAATATTGGAGCAACCAGCTCTGCTTCCACACACTAGCATGCAGTGCTCTGGATTGATGCAAGCTATATCATCAGCAAACAGTATCCTGGAAATCATTCCTGGAACAACTATGATAAACATTGGCAGAAGCTTTAAGAAGCCAGCCATAAGAGTAGAGCCTTTGGCATGAGCAATGTTTTTGGCTGCAAGGACCCTCTGCACGATGACTTGGTCAGCACACCAGTACCATACCGAGGCTGGGGTCTGCCCAAGGATGAATCCAGGCCAAGGAACATCTTCATCTGTTGGATCTCGCAGCATTTTCAGGGCTTCTTTCTTAGGGTGGACATTACAAGAATTTGTGTTGGAAAGGTTGTATGTCAACAAGATGGAAGTAACATTGGGTGAGGCCAACATGTACCTTCTCTTAACTTCCTCAAACCCGCCAATCTCCATTATGCTAATAATCATAAGTGTAAGTGCCCCAACGATCATGAGCAGAGCCTGTAGAGTATCTGTGTAGATCACTGCAACAAGGCCTCCGGTGACAGTCAGCAAAGCAGTCATGCCAATGAGCAGGATGACAGACACATAAAGATTCCAACCCAAAGACTCCTGGATAAAGAGGGCACCTGAATACAGATCCACTGAGAGCTTGGTGAAAATATAGAGAATCAGAGACAAGGCTGCAAAATAGACCTGAATCCTATGACCACCAAATCGCTTGGACAAATATTCAGGCATGGTATATACACCTGACCGGATGTAAATTGGGATAAAAACCCATCCCAGAAGTTGTAAAAGCAGTAAGGCATTGAATTCCCATGCGCCCACTGCAAATCCACTTGCAGCTCCAGATCCTGCCAGCCCAATGAAGTGCTCACTCCCAATATTACTCACAAACAGAGAGGCACCGATTGCTACCCAGGTCATAGAGCGCCCCGCCAGGAAGTATCCACTCACGGTGCTTCTATTAGATTTCCACATGGCAAAAAAACCAATGCACATGACCAGGATAAAATACAGGGCCACTATGGCAATGTCTGCTGTGTCCAGTACAGCTCTCATTCTGGTAACTCGTGAATAATAGCGTCCAATGACAGAAGTGTCCAGCTTTATTTATTTTTAGTAACCCCAGCCAAGTCTGTAAACCATACGTGAACTGGACTATACAGAGCAACACAGCAGGTCAAAGTCTTTGTCCTTTGGTTTGCTGTCTTGATGGTGGTGGTTGTGATAAACTTTGAAGAAGACAGTTTAAATTTTCCGCTTCTTAATTGGGATTGAGAACTTAGCTCGTACTCTTAATCCACTCTCCACAAGACCATCAGCATTTACTCAGGTGCTGGAGGAGAAATTCTGAGTTGCAGCTAAGTCTAGTGAAGCCTACTGTACCAACCCTGCAAGGCAGCAAAGACAAAAGACAAAGATTGAATTAGAGGAGGGTCTCACCACGTGATGAGGAAACTTTCAGTCTAGCAATCACGGCGCAACAAGACATTCTTTATAAAAAGAAAAAAAACTTTTAAAATACACTTCAATTCCATGGGAAAGAGCAATCTATATGATCACAGCTGATACTTCTGTCAGTGAGAATATTAATCATTTTGAACTAAGGACAAAAACTCATCAACCTCATAACAAAGTGGCCTAACTTAAGCGCTTAACTAACTGCCTACTACAGCATTGCCCTTTCTTGTCTTACTGTGGTAGTCTCATATTGGAACAGGTATTAAGATCTTAAAGCACCCTAAAGGGGCGAAAATACTAATTATATTCATAATAAAGGACACAAAAATGAATCTTAAAATACTATGAATCCTAACAGAGTTTGGGGCTAACCTTATGGCCAGTTAGGGTCCCGGATGGAATAGGCAGGTGGTGTTTACTAGATGTTATCATCTGCCTCAGAAAATTTAAATACAGAAAATCAAGTACTGCCTACTCTCTGGAAATATACTGTTATCAAGTTTCTTAAATGTCTGTAAACGGATACAGTAGTCATACAGTAACCTAGAACCTGTGAGACACCCACTGCCCTAATGGGAAACAAGACATTTCACATAAAACTAGAAACATCCAACTTACAAAACAACTTGAAAATTATATTATTTCTGCTAGTTAGAAGATGCTGCAAGAAGATAAAAAGAAAATTTTAGAAGAGGTAATTTCCTTCTCTTCCTTTTCGTCAGGCAGTATTTCCAAGAGAATCTCTGAGAAGATAAAGGCACTGACTAAAGGTTTGATTTTATTGAGTATGTTTTACTTTTAATGCTTTTTGTTGAAGGGTATAGAAAGCAGAGAAAAGAGGGAGGAGGAGAAAAGTTTTCTGAAGACTAAAAAATGATTATTATGTCCACCAAACCTCAACAAAACAGATATTTGTTGACCATCAGATAAATCTTCAATAAGACCATCAGGAATTTTTCAGTTCTGGATTAAGACAACCACTCTGCAAAACAGACATTTAAATTTACCTAAAATTAAATTTATTAATTTGATTGTTTTTCTCCTGAAAAAAGAGACAAATTCTGAATCTTCTAAATTAATTGTAATTGTAGCCGATAGATCAATACGAAAAAACATTTTTATTCAACCTAATGCCCTCCAAATATGAACTTCTAAATGATTTCTCCTTTTGCAATAAGGCAACGTCAGAGCAGAATGTTTTTCCACACTTTCTCCAAGGCATTTTCCTTTTGAGACCTGTAAATGATACTAAAGCCACCTCTTCTCAAAACTGTTCAAAACAGACCACAGTATTAAAAACTTTAAAACACACTTCTCACTGTCAAAAGGAGCTAGATGTAATACCTGGAGACTACTGCCCTAAAAATTAGCTTCTTAGGTCTAATGCAGAAAAAACTGCCTAGATACGAATGTCTCAATCCCATCTGTATGCCTTTTTAAAGCATTAAGCACTACAATAATTGTGCTATGAAAAGTGATTTAAATCCTTTCTAACTCTCAGTGGCTGGCATAAATAAAATTGTCAGAGAAAAGCAAAAAAAAAAAAATCTTAAAAGTTGAAATGTATTATCACTTCATACATACCAAATCCTGAAGCTGATCATATTTCTACGACCACCTTCCCCACCCCCAAACACTTTCAAGTTTTTAAACACTGTGACATTATGAAGAATCATCTAAATTTTTAATAAAATTTAATCATATGATTAGTAAACATTTTTTAAAAGGGTACCTTTAAATGTTTCTGCATAAGGGAAGCTCATCAATTACAATAAAAACTGCTGTTTGCAGTTATGAAACCCTGCCTCCAGGGCTCTCTCTGCTACCCAACATCCACCCAAGTCATCCTCTGGCCACTTGTTTCAATTTTCAGGAGGCTAGCTGGCTGATCAAGTATCACTCTTCCCAATGGCAGCAGCAACGATGTGCTTTCCAAAGAAAGGATAGAAAAACAGTGGGTATTTCTGGTTTTATCTGGGTGCAGAGGGGAATAGGGTGGGCAATATGTCACAGTAGCTGCTGCAGCTTATATGTTCAGAGAACAAAGGACTCAAAAAGAAAACAAGCACTTCCTCAAGCTCTGGGAAGCACTATTATCAGTAACACTTTTCTACTGTCAATTCTGATTTATGCAAGGTAGATATAGAAGCTATATTCTGCTGCCTGTTCAATGCTCAAACTGCATCAAGTTCTCATGCTAGCCCTAACTCCTAACTTCTCTAGTAAAGTTGCTCTGCCCACAGGAGAGGCAGCAGAGTAGCCAAACACTAGTTCAAGGCTAAAGTCTCAACTCTCTGCCTAGGTTTCCTTAGATCCTTCAAAGCCACTGTGGACAGTTCCCTTCTCACTGGATACCATACCAGTCTGTGGGTAGGTTTTTAGATTTTTTCCAATTTAAACAAAATACATCCATAGACCAGCACCTGGTAAAGACTGGAAAAGGAAAAACAAAACCAAAAACAGGTCAATTTAGTTTGCAGAAATATATAAAATACTATAATGCAATACAGCTAAATTTTATACTCTAGTCATAGTCATAGCCTTGAACTTCAGTCTTTCAAGATATAAACTATATATGCCTTAAAAATGGTTCCAAATAAATATACAGTAAGTTATGTATATATTTTCCTTCCTTTTAAAGAAGTGAACATTTCTTCAACAAAATACAATGAGCACTGGGTTCCAGGGTTCCCTTATTTTTACAAGAATATACATGGAAGAATCTTCAGCTAACATGAGGTTTTTTAACTTGTATTTTTATATTTATATATGTCTTTTGTCACACACAGTTCACCATTCAGGCAAACCTCTCAAGTAAAAATTTTGAGACAATAAAATAGGTGTAGTTATGAAAAGCATGTAGACAGGTTCCTTGGTACTACTTTTTTTCCTTAAAAAACTTTTGTAATGGGAGTGATACTGGTAGAATGCAAAAAAAAAAAACAGTCCTCTAGTGGTGATGGACATATTTGGCCAAACCTTGAACACAAAGGTGCTTTGAAACAGAGCAGATTCCCCCTCTTCCCAAAAAAAAGGCATCCTTTTCGGAAAGTATTTTATTGTTTTGCACAGAATTAGAATGCAATTTTGGTTCTATTCCATTTATGTGGATAAATTAAACTGCAACTGAAGAATTAATCCAAATAGAGAAGTGTAAATATAAATATTTGCTGCATCTGACCAAATAAGAGAAAAAAAGTAAGACCAAATTTAAATAAGCACTCCTTAAGGTAATATAACCATGGTGACCAAAATTTAATTAGTTATAATGACCAGATTTCTCTTGTACTATCTGGATAACCACATAATTTATCTTCCAAACCAGAAAATTATTCTGGAACAATAATTCTGTAAACTGCAGGATATACAGGCACTCTATCAAATAAAAAAAAAAAAAAAAATCACCTGCCATATGCCATAAAAACCCAACAAGGAACAAGGAAAATTATCTCCTAAACTCAGTCAAGTCATAAGCTCAATGACACACGCAGGCCTGCAAAGGGTAGTATACAATAACCTTAAATATGACCAATCACCTCTTGAGCTTTGGAGTCAATTTACAAACCACCCACTCAAGGTACAATATGAGAGGCCTAGCCCAGCACTCTGTCAATGGTAGGCTTGATGAGCCCTGCTCATCCTCTGATCCAAATGAAAAATCTTTACTTAACTAGCTAATAATTTAAGGGTTACAGAACACACGGACACCTCTGAAAACCTAATTACCTGAATTACAATCACGTTTGTGTAACCTACCAAAAAAAGAGGGGGGTATACCTAAGCTTTTTTCTCCCCACCCCAGCAGACAGATTTCATAATCTGTAAGATCACGGTACAGAAGAAAACAGGACAGCTTTGAAGGGCTGGGTTCCATACTCTGTCACTTCCTAACTGTAGGATCTCAGGCAACAACTTCATCCCAAAGAGCCTCAACAAGTCTCAACTGCCTGGCTTTTAAAATGAAACCAACTCGCTCCTTATGGTTTAATAAGGAATAAGTAACACAGAGAAAGCTAGTATTGCCTAGTACAATATAAAGGTGGTTCAGTAAATGTCAGTTTACTCCCTACAACCTGAATACACTAGAAGTGATACTGGTTCCTTTCAAACTGTCAACTATGTGCAAGGCGTATTAGAATCTTCACAAGTTATTTCTATAGAAGAATTAGATAAAATAATGCCTTAAAGAGACAGTTCTTTCCAACATTTTAGACTCCCAACTACCTCATCAACTATTACCTCCTACTTAAAGTAAAATACAAAAAGAAAAAATTTACATACAATTCTTAAGACTTTTCGTACATGCTTTCACTTTTGTCACCTTGACTCAAGGTCTAGGAAAGCAAATTCCAGTGGTGGATAGACTGCCAGTACTTAGAGCAAAGTGTATGTGTACGCACACAGGACTGTCCTCAACCCCTGCTTACCTTAAAAACGTGGAGCAAGGATATTGTAGTGGTTCATCAATGACACAAAGAGCAAAACAGCTTTCTCTAATGTAACTGACATGAACTCCAGCCAGTTTTAAAATGTAAGTGGAGCTAAGGACAACACTATGAATTAAGTATCCCTAATCCAAAAATCTGAAGTCTGAAATGCTCCTCCCAAATCCTAAACTTTTTGAGCTCTGACGTGATGTTCAAGGGAAATGCTCAGTGGAACATTTTGGATTTGAGATTTTCAGATTTGGGATGCTCAGCCACTAAGTACTATGCAACATCCCACAATCCAAAACACTTCTGGTCCCAAGCATTTCAGATAAGGGATATTCACGCTGTACCATATTGTTTTAATCGTCCCTAAAATGTAAAGAATTTGCCCTTAAATCTTTTTGACAAAACATTTCTATTAAACTTGCACCCTTCCAGTTTTTAAAAGTTATTATATGAAGCCCTGATTGGACTAGTATTCATTTTATTCATTTTAACCTGATTCTATCGTAAGTTTGGCTCATCATAAATTTTTTTTTAAAGAAATTTCAGAGAAATAAGACCTAGATATGGCAGCTGGGGAGGAAAGAACAACTATGAAGCTACTACTGGTTTTATGTGAATAACATCTATGTGAATACCAGATCACATTTGGAGCAAACTCCAACAACCCATTTTGTTAAAGATAAATGAAAACATGCAACAGATTGGGCATGGTGGCTCACACCTGCAATCCCAGCCCTTTGGGAGGCCAAAGCAGATGGATCACTTGAGGCCAGGAGTTCCAGACCAGCCTGTCTAACATGGCAAAACCCCATCTCAACAACAACAACAAAAAACCCACATCAACTGGGTGTGGTAGCACGTGCCTGAAATCCCAGCTACACAGGAGGCTGTGGCGAGAGGAGTGCTTGAACCCAGAGAGGCAGAGGCTGCAGTGAGCCGAGATCATGCCACTGCACTACACCATGGGTGACAGAGTGAGACTATCTCGAAAAGAAAATATGAAGTAACAGAGCAGCAGTGCCTATTACCATGTAATCGCAACAAAACATTTGTGTAACTCAATGAGAATTCAAGAGGCTTAACACTATCTGCTTCTAAAAGATTGTTTATCAAAGATAAGTGAGTTATAAATAATGGAAATTTTTTAAAAATCTGACACTAACCTAAGTCCTAACACTATCTAGGTACCATGTCTAGTTTTACGTGCATTACTTAATGCTCATAACCATGAGATAAGTACAATTATTATGACTATTTTACAGAGGAGAAAACTGAAGCCAAGGAAGTAGGTAATATAACTAACCCCAGGCCACAGCTGTCTGTGTTAAAGCAAGGACGTGCCCTCACACCTATGTGGCTGAATAGTTTCTGCCCTTAATCACTATGCAATACTACCTTTGATGAAAAGGACATTTCTTTACTGACAGGCAGTAAAAAAACACTAATGATACAGATAAAAGATCATTCATCATTCAAATATCATGCATGTTTAAAAAGTTGTGCTTGAAGAGAAAACCCAAGATGGTTATGTAGCAACTGTTAACAAAATAAGACTACAAACAGCACATAAGATAAAAACCAGTTGAAATTCTTTGTGTGATCATGTGAATGGATGTATATGGAGAAAATGAAGAGATTAAAAGCAAAAAGAAGTCCCAGGCATAGACTTCAGATACAGCAGCAAAGCCCTGATGAGCCAGCTATTAAGACCAGAACTTATCGATGTTCTCACCATCCAAGTTCAAGGCTTTCTGCCTTCATTCTTCTTATCAGTGTTAATTAGCCATTCCACCAAAGGGGGGAAAATAGCAAGTCTTAAGGTCTATTCTATACTTGACCCAGTTACCACGGGCTATATGATTCTATCTGAGCCAATCTTTATCAACTCCCACAACTTTAAAACATTAAAAGAATTAGCTGTACAATCTACAGATGCAAGGGTTCTCACAGTAAAATCTACAGACCACTGCTCTTAATGGATGAAGTGTTGTAGCTGCCTATCCTGTTGTTCAGGGTTATGAATAATTTGCCTTTGCCCATAAACCCTGTTCTACTCTCAATCCTCCCCATCTCAGAATAGTAACTTCATCCTCACTATTGCTCAGTCCAAAAATTTTAGTCATCCTGACTGCTCACTTTCCCCTTCAACCCATATGCAATCAATCCATCAGTAAAGCTTGTTGGCTCTATTTTAAATACACCCAGAATCAAAGACAACTACTAGCACCTTGGTTCCAATCACCATCCCATCTCATCCCGATTACTGTCCTGGCTCCTTGTCTCCATGCTTCTGCCCTTGGCCCACTACAGGAAACTAATACAGCAAGCAGTCACCCCTTTCATCACAATGGACCAAACCAGCCTCTGGGACTGGCCATTCCCTATGCAGGCAACTTAATACCCCCACAAAACTTGCCCTCCTCTGTGACTTTGCACAAAAGTAACTTCCCTGACCATCTCAACGCCTCCTCTCCAGCCTTGTTATTTATCCATAGTACTCAACACCTAATATGCTATAAAACGTATGTGTCTTCTGTCTCCTCACTACCACATATGTAAACTCCATGAGGATAGAATCTTATCTGTGTTGTTCTGATGTGTCCTAGTGTCCAGAACATCATCGTACACACTACAGGTGCCCAAATGTTTGTTTAATAAACAAGTCAAATATTAACTAAGTTCTTCACCATCAGGACTGCTAAACTTCGAATATCCTATATTACCATCAACAGTGGGTTTTTTTAAGCAACAAGAGATGCAGATTAAAGAGGCCTAAAGAGAAAAAGCGCCTCCTCCCTCCTCCACCAGTGATCTGCAATCTTGAATAGCTTCAGTTGAAGGTGTGTGGAATGACAAGGCAAACTGAACTAGACAACTACGTTCATTCAGATAAAAATATCAGCGGGGCCGAGAGCGGTGGCTCAGGCCTGTAATCCCAGCACTTTGGGAGGCCGAGATGGGCAGATCATGAGATCAAGAGATAGAGACCATCCTGACCAACATGGTGAAACCCCATCTCTACTAAAAATACAAAACCTAGCTGGGTGTGGTGGCAAGTGCCTGGAGTCACAGCTACTCAGGAGGCTGAGGCAGGAGAATCACTTGAACCCAGAAGGCAAAGGTGGCAGTGAGCTGAGATTGTGCCACTGCACTCTAGCCTGGCAAAAGAGCAAGACTCTACTCCAAAAAAAAAAAAAAAAAACTCAGCGGACCATGACATAGTAAAAACCTGTATCTGGAGCCACCATCTCTCTCTCAACCTACCACCAGAGTGGCCCACTTCCCTTCACTGTGCTAACTCCATTGTGGAATGTGTTCCAGGTTTTACATCTGCAATTGTCGACATCCACTACCTAGTGTGCAGTGGTATGTGTAGACCATCCCTGTGTGTGTTTGTCTGGCCACTGTTTCCACACAGCTGAAGGAATAGTCAGTGCCTGCAAACGAAAATTCCCTTCAGCTCACTCGACACAAGCCCAAGCACCCTGATGTCAACGTATGAAGAACTCCCTCTTTCACCTCTCCATTACACTTCCATTCAAAGTTCCCACAAAACTAAATAAGTTAACTTAGTAGCTAGCATTTACCAAACACCATGCACCAAGCACTATTTTCACACTATATGTTTGAGCTCATCTAATCCTCACAAAAACCCCAAGAGGCAGACATAATGATCCCCAACTTACAAATGAGAAAACTGAGGACATTTGAGAGGATCACTAAGGGGGTTCATGAACACCCTCTCTGAAATAAAGAATGCATCCTATTACAACACTTTTCAGGAAGACACACACACACACGAAATAAACACACGTCAGATAACATCCAGCTGATGCAGACGGAATAATGCAATGAGAAAAATCACCATTAATGCCCCCAGGCTATGAGTACAGGGATGCTAAAACCTTCAGGAAAATGGTTGCTGGAGGGCTTCAAAACAGACAGATGACGCTGACAACAGCTGTACCCACACCAACAATTAATCTTATCTCTAAAAAGCAGACATGTGCCCTCTTGATGTGATCTAACCCTCCCAAGACCACTTAAGTACTCTTACAAAACAAAACCTAGATCTAATTACATTTCTACCTATGGGTCTACAGAAATTACCTGGAATAGAACAACATACAAAAACAGCAGAAGGGATCAGTCAAATCCAGAAAGGGAAAGAGTGGGGAAAGTTGTTACAGAGTAAGGGACTTAAGATCATTAAGTAAACATAACTCGTGGACCTTGTTTAGATTGAGCGTCAACCAAAACTCTAAGAGACACTTTAGACAATTCAGGAAATTTGAACATCAACATTAGATGTTAAGGAATTATAGTTAGGTGTGATAAAGGCACTACAGTTGTTTTTTAAAAGTCCTTATTTCTTACATACTAATTACAGATGAAATGATAGATCTACGTTTGCTTTAAAGTACTCCTGCAATGAACAATTCAGTCACTAACAGATGCTAAAACTAATGATTGTTGGAGAACAAAATATTCAGTTTCATGTTTGTTGCTCCATGGATCACTTAATACAAAAGGGAAATAGGGTACATTTGCAATGGTGCATTCTGGTGAATGCCACATAACCAAATGATTGCTTAACGAAGTGGCATGCCTGCTGATATGATAGACTGACATCCCTATGGAATATTCATTTGTCAACAATGTCTAACTCTAATCATGAAAATGCAACTACAGACAACTCCAAAGTGAAGGATTATGCAAAACAGTGGGCCTGGACTCCAAAGCTCTTCAAAGTGCCTCTCATATTAATGACAAAGGCTTTGGAACTGTTCAAGGAGACTAAACAAGTATGATCCTTGACTGAATACTGAATTAAAACACTAAAAAGTATTACTGGAGAACAGTGTAAATTTCAATATGAATTGAACATTTGTTGGTAGTATTGTATCAATGTCAAGTTTGAATGTGATGGCTATGTTATGGTTAGGAAGAAGGCCCTCCCTCATTCCTAAGAAAAATATGTCAAAATGTCTGCAACTCTCAAAATAATGCAGATTATCAAAAAGAAAATATGGCATATTCTAACAATTAGTTATCTAGCCAAAAATCATACGAGTGTTAAATGAACTGCTCTTACAGTTTGAATTTCTTTTAGTCATGATAGCCAAGGGAAATTAAAAGAAAAAAATTTTAAGAAAACAGAAGTGAGGAGACTGGAAATTAAGATTAACAGATGAAGCTGAGTGATGGGTACAATACGAAGGTTCATTGAACTACTGTATTTACCGTTATATATGCCCAAGTCTGTGTTTTAATTCTTCAGTTTTCATTTGTAAAATGGAAATCATTCTACCTAACCTTAAGATGGCTGAGGAAAGCAAAGCACACTGCCATGTGTGTACCTACGCAATTGTCTTGCATGCTCTGCTCATGTACCCCAAAACCTAAAATCCAATAAAAAATTATAAAAAAAAAAAAAGATGGCTTAGGATTCAAGAGAATTATATCTATGTGTGTGTGTAGTGTGTGTGTGTGTATGTGTATATATATATATATATATATATATATATATATATATAATCTTAAATACATATACACACCTACCCCTGCACCCCTACTTCAATCAATTGCTATGGTTAGGCATTATTAACTAACTCATCTATCCTCCCTCAAAGGCTAGCAACTAAGTTTATAGTTGCTGTAGAGGTAAAACATCCAACCAGGTCACAACTTTGTGTTTTTTGTTGTTGTTGTTGTTCTCATCCTACTTGGTTCCAATTTTATGTTCCTAGAAAAAAACTGTGTCTAGAAAGAACAGATACTAACAGTTTCTACTCAACTTTCCATGTGACTAAGGCAGAAAACCTAGGCACAAGCATCTTCCTGTTAGACCATATTCTGATTCTCCAGGCCAAGTTATAATTAGAAGATTCAGAAATTAGGGCATTTCTTCTGAAAGATACTTTAAGTTGGAAAACTTTAAAACCTTCTAATTTTCCCCTAGGTTTGGCCTCAAGAAGTAAAAGCCCAAATAGAGTAACTTTAACAGTATTTGGCGGGACTTATAGAAATTATGTCCTGAATTAAACCTAAGAAATAAAAACAGAAGCATGGTATTCTAGATTATAAAGGCAGTTGGATTTTCCTCTTGTATTGCAAACATAGGACAAGTAGAGGGATATAGAAATCTAGAGAAATAGGATCACATCTGTTTTCTTTGGATGCCAGATGATAGGAAATCTTGAAATTATCAATAGTTTCCAATGAATCCATCCTAATCAGATAAAATACTTAAGAATATGACACTAGGAAAAATGTTTTCTTCAGTCTTTTTACACACACAGAATTTGCAAAAACTCCTGGCCCTTACTTAGTCCACACATGAGAATGGCATTCCCATGAGACCAATAGTGCTACAAAAGTCTGCCAGACTTATACTCCCTAATGGAAACTTAGTATCTTAAAGCTTCAAGATACTATACTTCATACAATCGTTTTCTCATATGACTGTACACAAAACAGAAGGCAAGCAGTATACCAACAGAAGAATGGCAATCAAAACAACCCATGACTGGGTCATTTGTTCACTTAACAGCGTTAAAAAACAAAACCACACAGGGTATGGTGGCTCACACCTATAATCCCAGCACTTTGGGAGGCTGAGGTGGGCAGATCACCTGAGGTCAGGAGTTTGAGACTAGCCTGACCAACATGGTGAAATCCAAAAAATTAGCAGGACATGGTGGCAGGCAGGCACCTGTAATCCCATCTACTTGGGAGGCTGAGACAGGAGAATTGCTTGAATCTAGGAAGCAGAGGTTGCAGTGAGCCGAGATCACACCACTGCACTCCAGAAAAACTCACTCTTCAGTACCATGTTTTATATTCAGAATTCATACACAGGACATCTGAGCACAAACTGAAGGGAGCAGATATCTGGAACTTAATACTGATTCAGCACCTTTCTAACAGAAGCAAAGACTACACATGGATTCACAGGAGCATCTTCCCAGCAGCTGAAATGCAAGCACAACACTGTACTTCTGATCACCACAATGAGAATTTTCTCAAACTGGATTATATATCCACAGCAACTTGGCTACTGTAACTGCACCTGGATTCTTCACGGGACAAAGCACTTAACCACCAGGGTAGGTGAAACTACCAGGTAGGAGAAACTTTTAAAAACTGAAGTTTAAACAAAAGCAAAACCAGTAATTCTCAATCTGGGGCAGAAGCAGATAAATGCCAGTTTATGAGGATTGAGGGTTCCAATAAAGTTTGGCTAAGTTTGTGCTTTCACTTACAATTTTATTTTTAAGCTTTCATCTACACCAACCTCTACTGAAGTATGAGCAAAGTGGATAGAAATTCCCTTACCTTTGACTGTAATCCTAGTAAAAATGATTGGAAGGGGAAGCAAAACAAGTTAAATGTAACATGGGTCAAAAGGTAGGTAAGAACAACCTGGGATCTGAGTTCGTTTTATTTGCAATTTGATGTTATCTATCTGGAGTGGGAGTGGAAAAAACAAAAGACAAAAAAATAGTCAAGTTAATAACTTGGCTTCTATTTTATGGAAACACAAAGCCTGGTCAAAAATAAAAATCTCATCACCCCCCGGGCTCTACACTCTTCACTAAGACAGCACCTCAATTTTTTTTGTGGTAATACTATTTTCTAGGATCATGGGTAAACTACTTTTGATTCCACAGATACACACTGAGCAAAAACAATATTTTCTAAACAAAGCAATCTTTGCATGCCAGTAGCATTTCAAACACCTAAGAGGTTAATACAATGGGTACAAACTAAATAGTACTAATACATGCTTAAAATAAGCAATCACTCAGACACTGAAAGAAAAAGTGGACTATGAATATCACTCCCTGCCAGTTTACACTGTGCAACTCTGAAGCCTGCATCTACAGTTTAGTGTAAATGGACACATACAACCCAACGATCCAAAACTATAGATACTACTTTTCAGAACTGCCATCACTGAAATTAGTCCTATTGCAAACCAGTGACCAATAACCAGGTGGACTTTGTCAACATAAATGCTAAGAGGTTTAGAGACGACCTACAGCTAATTATCTGAATATCTAGATTATGAAACGAGCACCAACCCAACCCATAGACACATTACATTTGATCCACAGTACTTAAGTATTCTTCAATTAGTTGGCAACATCTTTCAAAAAAAAAAAAAAAAAAAAAACAGATTTCCTATAAAATCTGGATTTCTGGATGTTAGTAAGATGACAGAAAAAAAGCTAGCAAAACCAGGCCCACACCCCTCATGGCAAAAATAGATGGGAGCAGAGGAGTAACATCAACACCACTAATTCAAACATTTACTGAGCAAGAACTGTATTTCAGGTTTGACTTAGTTTGGGATTCAGATGAAGTAAACTTAGATAGAAGTTTCATCTTTTGGAGTTTCTTCATCAATAAACTGGGAATGAAAAACTAGGCAACAAAGTTCACAGCAACTTGCCTGAGATCACAGCTACTTTAATGTCAGAACTACACTTAGCCACTTTATCTTCAAATGCCCTCCCAAATTAATTACTTCCATTTTACAAAGGAGGAACTGAGGATCCAAAAAGATTAACATCCTTAGGAAGTAGGTGCTAGAATCCAAAACCCACTCCATCTCCTCTAAAGCTCCTTCTAGTCTGTCAGTGCCAGTCTTTTTTTGTTCTGTGGTAACATGCAGTATCTTCATTTCAGATTTTAAAAGGTTCTTCAACTCATTTATAATAGAAAACAAAAAAATCAGAGCACTTTTCTAAAGCAGAAGCCTTCATACCCAAAGCCATATCCAGTCATAAAACCATATATATGTACCTTAAATATTTTATTTAACACACAAACATATATTTATTTGCAAACCTCAATATGGGCGTCAAAGCATTTGCAGAATGGGATCAGTGATAATTTGAGTTCCTTCTGCTTGATCTAAGCAACATCTACAAATGGCATAATCTACAATTTCCAGTTTGAGCTTCATTAAAGTGGAAAGTTTTAAGAGATCCTAGAATACTCCATATACATAATTCTCCTATTGTTATTTTTCCTCTCAAACTTTGCATTACTTCAGCCATATCTAATTCTATGGCCATTATTTTAATGACTCACCTTTTATCAAGTCTTCCCAAAGAATCCAACTTGGTTTTCAGGAAATAAAGGTTTGCACTCATTTCATCAGCTCACATGATATTTAAAGCATTTTATAGAAGATTACCTGTCATAAAATAGTCTTGGAAATCAACACAACTTCTGATAAGCATCCAACTCGCCCAGTGTGAGTGAAGTGCACTGACTTGAAAGCAAACTACTAGGACATGAGGTCAACACGCCGTATCACAGCAGGCACCATTTTAGAGAGAGAGTAGAAACTCAAGGCAGCTTCGTATCTACCATATGTGCAAAGCATGGCAGGACAGAAATGAAAGACAACTCTCAAGAATTTGTCATCTAGCAAAGGAGGTAAAATATATTCACCAATTAATTGTAATACAAAGTAGAAAGTGATCCATGTAATGGGAGACATGTGATAAGATCCTTGCAACCAAGGAATGATTAGTCTATACTCCTAATGGTGCAGGTCCTTGATATTTGTTTAATGTACCAAATGGGTTAAAATGAACTTGGAAGAACATGAGACTAGTTTTCCATGGAGGTGGTGGGGTCATGTGGAAAGGGAGAGCACTCCAAACAGAAAAGCAGCATGATGCAGCATCAAACAAAATAAAAGGGAATGGTATTTCTAAGGATCTGCACAACTCTGTTTACTGGGTATATAAAATAGAGTGGAAAAAAAAACTGAAAGATGAGGTTAAAAAAAAAACAAGTTGGGAGTCATATCAGAGGTAGCCTTGGATGCGAGTTCATGCTTCATGTATTTGAAAATGAGAAGGATGCAGTAATTGGGCAACAGCGTTGTTGATATAATCAATTAGCATGGGGATCAGAAAGCCATCACTTAACAATGCTTTCTACTATTTCCTTGTTAAAAGTGCACCTATTCAGTTGTTTTAAAGTATCTCAAGGACATATATTGCACTACAAGCATATTTCTAGGTTGCATGTCAGAAGACACCAGCTAAGAAACTGCAAGACTCCAAGGAAGAAAAAAACAAGATCAGTTCAACTAGGGCAGAGACGACTATATGGGATTGAGAACGCAGGAATAGAAAGAACTGGATTTGTTCAGCACCAGATGACAGAAGACAAAGAAGCAATGAACAGAAATAAGCAGTAACAGAGGCAACTTTTGGAATAGGCAACACATTAATTATTTAACCACACTGGCTCTGCAGTGCCAAGGGGACCTTCAGGAGGCTATAACCAGCACAGAAGACAAGAGGAAAAGCCAGAATTGTCAGCCTGTTAAAAAAAGACGGCAAATCATCCACACAAAGGTCAAATGAATTGTACATAAAGGGAAGAGAGACTGTAACCCCAGCACTTTGGGAGGTCGAGGTGGGCAGATCACATCAGGAGATCAAGAGCACCCTAACC